CCGCGGACTGCGAAACGCTGCGTGGCGCCGCGGAGGATTACGCGCGGGACACGGCGGCGCTGACGGCGCGGCTGCAGCAGCTGCGCGAGGTACAGGAGCAGCGTGAAGCGCGCCTGGACGCCGCTGTTGCCGCCGCAGAGACTCAGGGCGCTGCAGCAGCGGAGAAAATGGGTGGCCGCCTTGAGGCGAAGTTGCAGCGTGATTTGCGCCGCCTTGAGTTGAGTATCGAAGAGCGCGCAGCATCAGCTGTTGAGGCTGTCGTCGAGGAGAGAGTGGCCGTGCTGGAGGAGCGCGTCGCCAAGGCACAGGCGCCGCAGGGGGTGGGGGAGGCGACGCAGGCACTGGCGCGGGATGTGCAAGCATACCGGGCGAAGGTGGAATCCCTCAGCAGCGCCCTTGCCAAGATGCAGGAGACCACCGAGCAGAAGCGGGAGGAGTTCGTCCTACTGCGCGACTGGGCCACCTTGCGCAAAGCGGTGTCAGCGCTGGAGTCACAGCTGCGCGATTGCCAGAGCGACGCCGTAGACCAGCAGCTGCAGCTGCAGCACACGTGCAAGGATCATGATGTGAAGCTGCGACAGCTGGAGGGCGAGCAGCGGCGCCTGCGCCAGACAGTGCAGCAGTTGCAGGGAAACTTCGGTGAACTGTGCGCGGATGTGCAGATGGCCCAGCGGCCCGCTCCCGTCGCCGCTGTGATGGGGCGATCCCTGCCGACCACAACAGCGGCGGTGGTACATAGAACGGACCCAGCGCCCTCCGTGGAGTTCCGTGAGGTGCTCTCATCGGACACACACGCCAATACCGCGCAGGCGAGCAGCAGCGGCACAACAGCCACACCAACGCCACACACGCACCCGCAGACTTCCAGCACAGACGTGATGATATTAGACGACCGAAACGAGTCGCCCGACGCGCGGCCGCTGCCCCCGTCCCTAGCACGGTTGGAGGGTGTGGGGAGGCACGGCTCGACACCAACAACAGCAACTACGGCATCGCACCGCCTGAGCTCCTCCTCGTGGGGTAGCACAGCCGGCGTGCAACAGAAGACGGCGTGGGGCGGAGCGGGGAGTAGCAACTCCGACACGTCGCTGCCGTTGCAGAAAGGAATGATGACACCGCAACAGCGCCTCAGAGCCACCATCACCACTACTGCTGCAGCTGCTGCTCATGATGATGCTGGGAATGAAAAGAAGAATACACGTGGAGAGGATGACGTTGAAAACAAAGCAGATTCTGATGATGGGGAAGGCCGGCGGGATTCACTCATGCAGCCACCCCATGAGTCGTCCAGCAGCGCCGGCTCTGCGATTAGAGTGTCGCGGAAGCAACATGCGGGCGGCGGCTACGACAGCGTGAGTGAAAGCAACAGCAGCGTTGTTAAGCCTTTTGCTCCACCAGATGGCCGCGATGAAAGCGTTAGCGGCGCCTTCACCACGCCGAAGAAGACTCCAGCAGCAGCCGCAGTGGCAACAACAACAACAACAACGACTGAGGAGGTGACACCACCAGTGAAACGAACTGCTGCGTGGTACGACGACTGGGACGATCCCTCTGACGACGAAACCGCAGCACCGTTGCGGCAGCAGCAGCGGCAGCAGCAGCAGCGAGGGCGGGCGGAGGATGGTGCCGCTGTTGTGGTTGAGGATTCCTGGACGGACGCAGCGGGCGCTTTGCACGCGGGTGAGATATACGCCACACCACGCAAAGCATTCGTGTCGGCCGGGGATGATGCGGCGGCGACATCAAAATGGGAGGAGGAAGTTTCCGTGCCGCGCCACGGCGTTGCGACTTCGTCTGGCTCTTCTTCCGCAGACTCAAAGAAGAGGCAGCAAGCGCAGCACAAGACGCCAAAACGCTTCACAAGCTTTGACGACACCACGTCAGAAGATGAGGAGACATAAAGGGCGTGAATATGGTGCGCAAGAGCGCTGCCTAATATACACTAGAATGTGCAGATATGGCTTTGGGGGAGGGCTGTGTGGGTAGGCCTTGTGTGTGCAACACGGCGTGATTGTGTCGATGATCATTCTCGATTTATCTGCCAGTATTACTACGCCTTCTACCTCTTATGCTACTGCTGCTAGTTGTGGTGGTCTTGTGTGAGTGCCACCTCTCCCTTTTCCCATTTGCGGCACGCGTTGCAGAGCAACTAGCGCAGCAAAGTAGTGGGCGTCATGCACTTCGCCGGCGTTGTGGGCTGCGGTGTGCTGCTGTACACGCCGCTCGCGCTGGCCGCCGCTGCGGCTACCACGACTTACCCTCAGCTAGTGGTGGTGGGCCTTGTCGGCGCCGCTGCCGCCTGCCTCGCGCTCGCCGTCACGGCGCTCTTCTACGCCGCGCTGCCGCACAACGATTCGGCGGCGTTATTCCTCGTTGTGGTGCACGTTGTGGCGGCGGCGGTGCTGCGACTGCTGCTGCTCTACGCGCTTTACTACACGGAGTCGCTGCTG